TTTTTTTTATTTTCTTGCCTGGTCCATTATACTCCTGCTATGAGTGAAACCATCCAGTATTTTTCTGGCTTATCTCACTAAGCATGATCTTTTCCAGCTCCATCTTGGATATAGTTTTACATAATTATTTTATGAATTTCCAAAAATGGTTATGTCTGCTTTTGGGAACAAAGGGAGAAGGGAGGCTTGGGAGCCTGAAAGTGGATGATCTGAATAGGATGCAGGGAGGGGACAGGAGACCATTTTATACTTAAGTTTTTGGATATTCAATTTGTGAGTAGATTGTAGGGGACAGGAATAAAAACAAGGGTTACAGAATATCCAGACAAGAGATGGGTCAGGTGACAAAAGAAGCAATGAAAACAGTCAGATTCTAGATAGATTTTGAAGATGAAGGATTTCCTGAGTTTATGTGGCGTGTGGGAGAAGTCAAAGGTTACTCCATCAGTTCACTGAGCGGATCTGTGAACACCAGGCTGCTGTTGGGTGCAATGGGGAAGGCTTCAGGTGGGCTGAGTTTGGGGGACTAGAAGTGTTAACCTGAAGAACAGAGGGCCTTAGCTAGTAATAATTAGGAGTAAAGGTAGGGAAGTCATTATGTATCAGAGATGGGGAAGAAGGAGCATCCCAGAGAGATGGTGAGTCCTCTGTGATTTGGAGCCCCCTAGTGGGCAAGTGTGTTATTAACCTTTCAGGAATTCTCCCTGGTACACTCTTAAATTTACCTAGGTTATTCTTTTGAATAAATTACATCTTTCTTTTATACCTACCGGGAATGGGAAATATAAGATTCAGTATTTGAAGTCCATGGTTATATAAAACAAATCTGGTAGAAGGTTGACAGTTACCTGCTCCCTTGGACTACTTTGAGGTACCGAGTGTGTGAGGATTAGTTGGGTGGAGCACAAGGAGGTTAGAGGCTTGAAAAGGATACATTCTATAAACTCAGGAAGAATCATGTGAGCAGGAATGACCATGTAGATATGAGGAGCCTGCAGAAGGAGTGAAGGTGGGAGAAAAGGAGGCGTTAGGAGCAGTGTTTCCGGTTTGTCATACAACATGCCACACTTACCACCTTCCAGGTCAATGGTGAATGTCTCTAGTGACCATGAGACTGATTTCCCCCATTCACTCTTCCGTTGGCTATTCCATCACCAAGGCCTAACTTGTGGAGGGCTTCTGCATCTTTTCGTATGTCAGGATGGCAATGACTCTTAGGAATTATTTCCCCCAGATATCCCTTGATTTGTCCCTTTTCCCCTTTGCTACTGCCTTACTTAAAAACTCATCATTGCTTATGTGGGCTACCTTGCCCTTTCATCTCTGTACTCTCCATTTAATTGTAAATCTAGTCTCTGAAATGATTCACAGGTCTCCTGTATCTGTTATGATGAAACACTGATTTCTTGGTATGACCTTCTGTTTTCCGACCACATTCTAGGCACACTTGGCACGTCATTTCCTGAGCCCTCAAAGCTGCCCATCTGCCGTTTGCCCTCGTCACTTCTACATTTCTACTCTAAAATTTTGTTTATATTGCCAGTCTGTTCAAGTGTGGCCTTCCCTAAGACTTTTTCTAAAATGATTGGGTGCTCCGTTTTCACTATTCTCACAATACCTTATAAAGACTCTCCATACCATATTTTCCCTTCTGTTACAATTACAGATTTATGTGCTTATTCCCTCATTAATCCCATAATAGTCTAGGGTTCAGGGCTTGACATACCAGCTTTGGGGGTAAAGTAAAACTCAGTAAAGGGTTTTTGCATGAATGAATTGTATGGATAACACAAGCTCCACAGTGGAGGACCCACCACAACACTGAAAGGACTGGGAGAGAGAGATCATAAATGAAGACTCCTGTATCTGCAGTTATCGCTGCATTACTAACTTTGAAACAAACTTTATTGAAGGTTAGTCTGGAGTAACACAGGAATGTGAACATATTGCCAGTGGACAGTTTGATGGAAATTTAAAGATTGCATCCCATATAACCAATGCCTAGATAGAGAAATAAGGCATGACCACTACCATTACTGTCACTTCTGTTATATCAGGTTCCTGTGACTTTGAACTTTATATCGGGAAAAAATAAATTCAATATGTATTCTTCTGTGTTTCTTTTACTCAACATTTTGTTTGTGTGAGTCATACACTGTTGCTAGTGACTGTAGACCTTCATTTTCATTACTCTACAGTATTCCATCACATGGCTAGACCACAGTTTTTCAGTTTTAGTCTTCTTGCACATTAGGGGGGGCTTTAGTTTTTGGCCATAATAAACAATGCTACTATGAATGCTGTGTATGAATATAAGTATTCGTTCCTGCATAGACCAAGAGTAAAATTGCTGAGTCATAACCTATGACATGTTCAACATTGCTACTGATAGTAATTTTTCAAAAGTGATTGCAACAATTTATAGTCCCCTCAGCATATGTGAGAACACTGCTTGTTCTACATCCTTTCTAACACTAGGTATTTCTTTTTTATTTAGTCATTCCTGTGTGCTGTAGTGTCTCCTCGTGGTGTATTACCACATTTCATTTAAAACCTTTTTATTCATTAAATTTTTTTCTTGCATCATTGTAGCCCCCATAACTCCCACCACCTCATCACCTGTGGCCTATCCCATGGTCCCTTGTGTTCTTCCCTCCT